AAGTAGAATATAGAAATGTAGAATTGAGAAGTGAATTAAGATTATGTAATAGTGTACAAAATGAATTGTAAAAGTAAAATCAAGATAATAATTTAAAAAAATTGTAGAAGATGAAGTAATAATAGAATGAAATGAATTGATAATTTGATATTGTCGAATGTTGGTAATTTGTAAATTGTAGAGAGTAGAGTAGATAATGAGAAAATTGGTGGGAAAAAATATTGATTAGGGGGTGGGTATTTATAGAGAAAAAAATGAAAAAAAATAAAAATTCAGTGACCGTTTCTGGTCACTGAATTTCCTTTTTTTTAAATTCAGTGACTCGTGGGCTCGTAGACGAGCCGTTCGTCTACAGTACGAGTTGAGCGGGCTCGGCTCGTCTAGCAAGCTAGCCCGCTCTGCTTGTGCTCGTCTTTTGACGAGCCCGAGCAGCTCGTGGGCTGCTACGGTACGAGCCGTTCGGTTCGATTGCCACCTCTAAACACTACTCACCCCGTTCTGCAACACCAACTTAAAAGTGCTTTTTGACTTGTACCCTTTTAAGTTTTATCAAGAAAAAAATAGCAAAATTGATTGAGTGCAAACTGTACACTGCATTTGCACGTGACTTTTGACCTCATTTATAAATGATCAAATTTTATTTTTAATAGTACATTTCAACGAATTTTTAAGTATTATTTACTTTTCTTATTTATTTATAAATTAAATTGTTTATAATTTTTTCTCACACAGGAACTTGATAAACTCAAGAAACAATAGCTAAACCACAACACCATTGAAATCCTTCCTCAAGAAATTGGAAAAAGAATTGGTAATGTTAGGTTTTAATGTAATTGACAATTTTTTGAACAAAAATATTGAAATTAATATTGTTGTAAAAGAGTTTTTAAAAGTCAACGGGTCAAGCAGTAACTTAGAAGTTCTAGGGTTCGAGTATGGAACAAAGGAGTAAACATCCCTGCAATTTCGCTAGCCTATCGCCCAGCTGTTGCTCGAGCGGTAAAAACAAAAGTTGCGTCGCCCGCCTGTCGTATGGACTTCGCTCGAGCGAGACACCATCGCTCGCTTGTCGCTCGAGCAAATATTATCTGAAAAAACCTAATTTGCATTTTAAGGCTTTTTACACGACCCATCCTACCTGTTTCGCGCGCGTTCGCTCGCTAACAATTTAAAGGGGATCAGACGATTGTGTAAGGGACAATCCTCTTGGAACAAAGTCTCAAAAAGGAGTGT